GAAATCTTGCTTGTTTGTAGGTGACCAAATACTTATTTTCCACCATTATTTGCAAAAAAATTCTTTACATTTTGTCTCTCATAGTTGAGGTCTACCTATGATGTCAATTACAGGCCTCTCTCATCTTTTTAAGTGGGAGAACTTGCACAATTGGTGACTGACTAAATACTTATTTTCCCCACTGTAAATGTCACCTATCATAGGATGTTACATCACAGCTGTTTCTGTAAAATAAATAATGGAATGCACTGTGTGTAATTTATAGGAGCTAAGCCAAGTGTTAGGAATTTACTTTTCTGCCTTTAGACTTCTGACAGCTGCAGAGTTAAATCAACATCTGGGTTTTTTCACTGATAATAGAAACAATGAAATGAAAAGTCCTCATACCTCCGTTGGTTAAAGGATTTACAGCAGCGTTCTCGCTGGTGTGCGTTTCTTACCTTCTCCACGTCTGATTTGGTGGCGTTGATGTCGTTATCTAACCGCTCGTAGGTGGACTGGGCTTTCTCCGCTTCCCTGCACTCTCTCTCAAACTTCCTTTTACTCTAAAAGTAATAAGACATTAAAATGAAATGTTTATATAGCATGAAAAAAAAAACAGAAAAAACAATAGTTTCAAACTTGTTATTGCAACCCACTCCCCCCCATTTCCTGTCTCAGTAAATAGAAGTACGAAAATGTGTGAATGAGAGGGTGATGAATCAGACACAGAGACAGTTTACTTCCTGACAGTCCATCTGGATCACATTAAGAGTGAAAAAAAAAAACAGTGAATAGCTGAGACATTACAGTTTAGTCACTAAATAGTTACTGGTAAAGTCATGCAGACCACACACTGAAACACTCTTGGTCACATGTGCAGGACCAATTCAACCACGGACCCAGAGGCTGGAGGAAGTAACTGCTCGTGTTTGAGATCAGTAGTTGAGTTTAAGGCTAAGGTTTTGCCACTAGTTGCCTCAATAAGGTATTGAGACTTTTAGCAGTAGTTTAGCTATTTCTRTTTTTAATTGATGCTTTGTGATATGGTTTAGTTTTAACTTCAAGCTACAGTTCTGTTAATTTTAACTACCTCTTTGCCCTTTTGTTCTTAGCTGCTGTGCTAATTATGACCCCCACACACAACCATGCTATGGTCAACCGTGGCACTGAAACGGCTGCACCGATAGACACGAAATTTGGCGGGAACATAGATGTGTCCGACCTACACTGCACCAGCCAACGGTTTTACGATAGACCCCATATTGGAGGAGGGGGCTCCATCTAAATAAAAAAGGGGGTGTCTGGACATACGAAAATGCTTATAACTTGAAAACCATTCAACATAGGAGCTTCAGATTTTTTTGTTGTTTAGCCCTGATAAAGGGCTATCCATCGGGTTCACCAGTGGACACCCCGCACCCATTCTGGACCCCCCCATCCAAAACAATTAATCTGTTCTGGTAAGTTCTGGTGTTTTGGAGCTTTGCGTACGTGCAGGGGTCATATATGCTACTGCTATGCGGTTTCTAGTTTTAGTAAAGGTTTTGCCACTTTTAGCACGTAGATACAATTTTGCTACTTTTGGCTAAGGTTTTGCTTAGCTTAGCTGCCTCTAACAATTTCAACAATGGATCTTTAAATAGTAACATTTCTTTGCACTAAAAATTGGTCCATCTAAMCAAGTGTAAAATCTTATATCCAGACCAAAACTTTGCTTGATCTTGTTTTTCAGAATGTGTTAGATTATTAATTATATTAGCCTGGACATTTTTCCTTAGTTTCAACAAGTCCTACCAAGTACAATATTCTCCATGACATGACTCCATGACAATGGTCTGTGTGAGGCCTGTGGCATTACAATTAGAGACCTCTTTGCAATACTTTAGGCCACTGTCTGGCTCGGAGCAGTCAAAGGAAAATAATTCTTGGGGACGACTTTATGGATCCTGAGAAACTCAGAACACTGAGTGTTTCTAACCTTGTGTCCTTCATATGAGAGACGAGAAGGTTTGAATGAAGACCAGTGTCTTTTTGTAGACAGCAATGGGCCCACTTAGGAGGCCTCCGCTCATATCAGTGTTTCCCCTAGGAAATTGGTCTTGGCGCGGGAGGGGGGGTGCTTGTTTTATAAAAACATAAATATACACGACTCACCTGCAATTATGGTAATAAATTTACACATACATGAATATTTAATTGCGTAACTACATCCTAGTTAAAGTGTATCTTACCCCCCCTGTGAAAAGATAACTC